TTAGTTTTCATGTATTAGTTTGTGATTAGGTCAGTTTATGGGGAACTACTAGTGGTAGGTCAATGATATTTGGTATGCAGTTGTATAAGCATTGGCATATCTCATTTCCATGGAGATTATTTGGCTTAGCCCCCTCAGTCATAATCAATTGACTTTGAAACTTTTGCTTAGTTTACATGTATTAGTTTGTGATTAGGTCAGTTCAAGGGGAACCATTAGAGGTAGGCCAATGTTAATTGGTATGCAGTTGTATAAGCATTACCACATCTCATTTCCATGGAGAATATTTGGTCCAGTCCCCTCAGTCATGGTCTATTGACTTTGAAACTTTTGCTTAGTTTACACAAATTAGTTTGTGATTAGATCAGTTTAAGATGAACTGCTAATGTTAAGTCAATGATATTTGGTATGCAAATTTATTGGCATTTGCAAGTCTTGTTTCCATTGAGATTATATAGCCCCACCCCCTCATCATGGTTCATTGACTTTGAAACTTTTATATAGTTTACAAGTTAATGTTTATGTTTAGGTTTGTTTAAAGGGAACACCTTATGATAAGTCAATGGTATTTGGTATGCAGTTGTATTAGCATTGGCACATTTCATTTCCATGGAGATTGTTTAGCCATGTACCTTCAGTCATGGTTCATTGACTTTGAATATTTGCATAACTTACATGTTAAAGTATTGCTATTTTTATTTCAAGATTTGCATTATCAAAATTACAAAAAGGCGAGATATATCTCTGTGTTAACAGTTTATTCTAAGATGTATATAGTTTGCACAGTTATTACCAAATCTAGCCTGGACAATAAGGTGGCATTATGTATAATATACTTGCATAACAAAGAGTTGTGTCAGTTATGCTTTGACAGTGTCACACTCCTGGCATCAGATATGATCATCTACATTTTAAATAAGATATTTATCATAGCCAAATGGCTTTGTTGACTGACCTTAACTGTCTATACTTTCTAATGGTAGCCTATACAGATGTAGCTAGTGTGTCCTGTTTTAAATTTAACAGATTTGTTGAACTAGTTCATGATTAAGATGATAACACAATGTTGACTGCTGTACCCCTATTTTTGACATTTTTACCTATTGTGTCTCTTTGTTTTGTTCACGCATCGTTGTCAATATAATGGAATTTGATGTGACTGTCATACAAGTGAGAGGTTTAGCTAGCTATAAAACCAGGTTCAATCTACCATTTTCTACAGAAGAAAATGCCTGTACCAAGTCAGGAATATGACAGTTGTTATCCATTCGTTTGATGTGGGTTTTTTTTTGATTTTGCCATTTAATTGGGACTTTCCTTTTTTGAATTTTCCTCAGAGTTCAGTATTTTTGTGATTTTACTTTTTTTTTCCAACTTTGCATGAGAAATTTGCCTTGGAATATTTACCAACACAATGAAGTCCAATTAATCATTCAAACTATATCCAGAATGTTCAACTGTATTTTCAAGTAATTAGCTTCAATTATTCAAAGTGGGGAAAAGTAACATTTAAATGATACCCACTAAATATTTATTTTTCCTTGTGAAAACTTTATTATTCGAAATTCATCTCTAAGAAATTTGCTGAAATAAGGCAAGATTATAGAACAGAAAGAAGTTTTTTTTAGGACCATGTCTGTTAGGTTTCACTGAAGTCTAGCTAGCACAAATTAAGCAATTATTCTAAAATATTAGTGTATTTTTATTCATTTTTCTTTTTTGGATTGAAAATGGTGGTAAAATGAATGTGTCTAGATAAGCCAGTGCATGCATGGCTAGCAATGGATGTTCTTCTTGTAGATTACAGGAATTTCATTCTGAAAAACTGATTTTAAAAGCTGGAGATTTTTTTCATCCCCTGTTTACATGCAGTGCAAACAACTTTGTCCATACCATTACATTACTTAAAATATATTCGAAAGACATGAGACTTGTATATATTTGAAATATATTATTTTTTAAAAGAATTTTTCTAAATATTTGGACTGTGCTGATTGATGGTTTGAAAAGCAGGCAATAGTCCAATTCATATACCTTGTCCCAGATTTTACCTTTAGTCTAATCTAATCTGCCAAAGAAAATGTATTTGGCCTATTAATGTATAAAAAATTCTATTCAATTTCCAAGCAGATCAATTTATTTATATATTGAACAGGACAGTGAATTCACTTAGGTGAGAAAAGATTGACTCCATGAACTTTGAGTCAGGTCACACATATTTTTTATTCATTATTTATTCTTTTTAAATCAATGCTCTTTAGTGAGCTGTTATTTTTTTCTATAAAAAAACATGTATTACCTCTATTAATGTGGATGAACTATTTCTCCTCTTTTCTACCAATTTACATCCAGATTTTTTTATGAAAATCAGAAAAAACTGAAAGTCTCCCTATCAAAGCCACACATTGTTGTTTGATGATACTGTCAGTGCCTGATATCTATGTACAACAGAATGGGGCATTTTGGCTGACTGTCAACTAGAACAGGACTGCCATGCAGTAACATATAAATTGTAGACAATAACATACATCTCTTTTCGATAACCAAAAATTGAAAATTCTATTTTACAATATGAGTATCAGCTTAGTAATACATTTAATGAAAGCAAAGTTGTTATGGAAAAAAATAGCTTAGCATTACTTATTTTAAGATGAAAAAGTTGAATTTCATTGATTTTCAAAGGACCTTGTAGACTTAAAAATTATTCTTCAGCCAGAAGGATTCAACATTGACATCTGATGGGACCTTTAACTTACATAAGTTAATCTATTGTATTTACTATTGAACACTAAAAGTTAAAAGACTTTTAAAGTATATAAATTCAGCTTCATTAAATAACTATCCCCAAAACAGCTCAACAGACTTTAATTGTATTTGCTGCATGCATCTGGAATAACTGTCAAAAGTGTCGGTTGAATTCCTGATCTTTAACTTTTTAACATACATGAACAAAGAACTGAATCCTTCCACGTGTAAGATAAATATTGAATTAGTATATGTAATTTTTATAGGTATTTCTCCTTACCATATGTTTCCATATTTTAGTCAATAATATTGTAAGTTAGCTGATTCACATGTTAGGAAAGTGATCATCAATTATCATACATGTACTTGACCAATTGTACCCTTGGGTGGCAAAAAGTAAGTTATCTGATTAGGGTGAGTATGATTCACAATGGATGAACCATGATCATTTCTGTAAATACAATTGATAATGGAGTTATCTATGGAGGATAGTGTTTTCAGTTTTAATATGCCATCCAAACCAGTGTCTGAAATGAATAATAACCAGGTTAGTTAGAAACTTTTTTTTTTTTTACTTTTTTTAACTTTTTTTGTGATTTTTTGTTTTTGGTGTTTTATATTTGAATTTTTGTCAAAAGTATTGATAAATAAGGTTTTTTTTTGCATATCAGTCATTGTTGTTTAAGTCATTCTTAAAACGTTATAATCAATATCTATATATTTATCTGGGTTTGTTTGGTGTGCATATAGTTTAGTCAAAACTTTAACCAGTCCTTATGTAGGACTGACATAAAGAAAATGTCATTCTATCCAAAATCCATTGAACGTCATTACCACTTTCCACTATCACAACCCGAGTCTTGAATGCTTCAAAACTCATCTTACAAAATAGACAAAAATCACTGTTTTTAAAAAGCACCATATAGGATGTTAACTATATCAGAACTGTATATATTTCAATTATTGTTTTGGACTTCATGTGCAACACAGTGGTAGAATAATTAGACTTTTGATTGAGGCAGCTTAACATGAATAAGAAAAAGAAGAGTACTACCTGACAAATGCAGATGATGATTAGGTCTCCCAAAAAGTTGCTTTCCAATAGTTGTTGCCCTTTATCAATTATTTTTAAACATGTTCCTCAAAAACATTTTGTTTGCATGGTGAAAGAGGATGTATGATGAGGGCCATGATTTGTCCTAAAAAATGAAGCATTACAAAACCATTTGTATTTAGACTTTCATCTTTCTTTTACATAGATATAAGAAGATGTGGTATGAGACAACTCTCCATCCAAGTCAAAATTTATAAAAGTAAACCATTATAGGTCACAGTACGGTCTTCAACACGGAGCCTTGGCTCACACCGAACAGTAAGCTATAAAGGGCCCCAAAAAATTACTAGTGTAAAACCATTCAAACGGGAAAACCAACGGTCTAATCTATATAAAAAACGAGAAACACTTATGAACCACATCAACAAACGACAACTACTAACATCAGATTCCTGACTTAGGACAGGTGCAAACAAATGCAGCGGGTTTAAACGTTTTAATGGTACCAAACCTTCACCCTTTTTCTGAAACAATATCTGAACTCGAGTCACTAAAATACGTTTGATAAATGTTTGTATAATTTTGTTTAGAGTAGACTAAGTATTTATCAGCTACATCAACAAAAGGTTTAACTTCAACAAAATGTAAAATAATTTTCAGAAATCCATAAGTTCCTTCCTCTATACATGTAAGTTAGACAAATCTGTTTACATAATACAAAATAAATCAGTGAAGCAGGATAGATAACTAGGTCAGATCCCTTTGTTGTGATATACTTATTACAAGTAGTAGTACAATAATGTGGACTTTGGTCTTATTTTTATCTTTTTTGTCACATAACATACTAATACATTGACCCATTAGTATTTCATATTACCTAGAGTGCAGTACAATGTCCATGGCAGAAAAAGCACTTTAATAAAATTTAAGTCTTGTGATTATTAGAACTTAAAAATATTTGATACTATTGACAAATAAGACAGTTATGCCCCTTGTACTTATAAATTACTGTAAAATGTATTCAATAATTAGATATTTTGGGCTATTTGAGACAACAGATAGGCTAGGTCAATGTTTTAGTATGTTATGAGACAAAAAAGATATGGGTTCGGTCAATGTATTATGCTATAGTCTGGTGACTATCAAAATTGAGTTTAAAAATGTCTTTCATTGGAACGTTTTTCTTACAACTATTTTGTAGCAAGTCTGTGGGCCAGCCCCTAAGAGTACAGATGAAGCCGCCCAAAAAGAAAGAGATCAGATCGATTACTCAATCAAAATTAGTTTGGATGATGCTAAGGCAGGCAGAGGTAATTTTTGTAAAATTCTGATTTTTATCACAATCATTTACTTTTTTTATTACCTACAGTCATTTGACAAAGCCAAATTAATGATGTATTCTCATGGTTTAAATTGATTTTTAAAAACTGTCTTGTTAAAATATTTGAATTCGCTCTCTCTGCGATATAGCCTTTTTGTGCTGATGCGGCGTAAAGAAGTCACTAATGATAATCATCATGGTTTAAATTAAGTGTTTGTAAAGAAATTAATCAAGTCCATGAATTGTGGTTGTAAAATAGTTAATGTTGGCTAGTTTTGGTACATCATTTTATCATTTGCCCCTCCTGCAATAAAAGAAGGCATTTTTCTTCAATCTCTGCCTCCCCCATGTTGGATAGCTGTCCATCCATTTGTTTCTCCTGCATGAGGTTAAAAAAAAAAGGTGGAAGATAGCAAAGGGATATTCAAACTCATAAGTCTTTAAAAAACACGCCATGGAAAACAACAAAAAAGGATCAGAAGACCAACAACAGTCCACAAAATGCAACATAGAAAACTTAAAAACTGAGCAACACAAACCCCACCAAAAGACTGGGTGATCTCAGGTGCTCCATAAGGGTAAGCAGATCCTGCTTCACATGTGGCACCAGTAGTGTTGCACTTAAAAGTACAAATTTGGTGACAAGTCTAATTTGGTTGGTCACATTCTTAAAGTTTTGGTGTAAAGTTGTTTGATGTGAAGTTGTAGCCTCATCAACACGAAACTTGTTACAAATCTTTATTGTGATACTGTCTTTCTAAATTTCTGCCAAATTAGGGGTTTGACCTAGATTTTGCAATTTACTGAACATGAAAATGTGAAATCTGAAATCAGAACATTCTCAGGTTTAAGTTTTGGTTTAAACCAGTTTAAATTGAAGTTGTGGTCTCATCAACATGAAACTTAGCACACATATCCATTACAATTTTAACTTTCTAAAATATATGCCAAAGTAGGGTTTTGATGCTAATTTCATGGTTCAGTGAACATAACACTTGATAATCTGTGCAGGACACACATGTTGACACATTTTCTTAAAGGGGCATTAGCTACGAGATATGAAAAAAAAAAATATGTGAATTTTTTTTGTTCAATCATTAATGAAAGTGATATAGTGAAATACTAATTTGCTTTTAGCAGCCAATTTGGTTTGATTTTGTCAAAATAAGACAAGAAACATCGCTGATGATTTATTCACTTCCGAGTGAATAATTCGACCTCATTGAATCCGTATTCATGTGACCTTTAATTTAACCCCTTAGTTGGAGATGGGGTACACATGTATTCAGCTAATAAAAGGAAAAGAATGTCAACATTGAAAGTGAAACAAGGATTTATCATTTGGTTGACTGATTCGATCAACAAAAAAATCATTCTTACACAGGTAAAAATGACGATAAACATACTGTTTAACCTACAAAATGAAATCAAACAGACCTAAAAAAAAATAATTGCAAGTGGACGCTATCTGTTTATATTTATATTTATGTTTATATCAGGTTATATGACCGTCGGCATGAATCTTCGGGGGTCATCTCGATGGTTAATTATATGACGTCATAGACAAAAATACATACGAAATTATCGAGTCCATGTATTGTTAATTGTTTATTTTAGACTTTTTGTAACTTGGATATATGTTTTAGTATGTTATAAATCAAATATGAGAGTTTGAGTCAAATTGATGAAGATGAATTTGACAGCTAATGCCCCTTTAACGTAGTCTTTTTAGGTTAGTCAACTTTTTCATTTGAGATTACCAGAACAGCCTTTGATAAGCAGTCATTTTGATCACCTCTTCTAGAAATCTGTACTACTGTACCAGTAATTGTAACATATATCTGTTTCTTGAATTGTTATATCCACTGATTATCCAGATTGACTACCATGGCTTCAAACTTTCTGAGCCAGGTGTTATACATATGAAATATTTAGTTCATGCCAAACTCAATTTGACATACATAGTATTTATGATATCTTCTTAGACTGATACTTATTGATCTATTAACTTTCATGTATGTCTGTCATTTTTAACTGGATTTTCGAAGGAAAAATCGGTTATTGATTTGGGGATGTACGGCGGGCGGGCGGCTGCCAAACAGTGTCCGTTCATTAACATGAAAACGCTTTGACGAAATTTTTTCCAATTTAGATATAATGTTTCCTGTGACTAAATGAAGGTCAAGTTCAATTTTCACGATTTTAGCTTTTCTCGTCTAGATGTGTATTTGATTTCTACGTTAATTTCTATGGCATTGAACCAGCGATAACTCAAAGTTTTTTAGGTGTCAATGTACTCTGTCTCAGCCAAGAGGTTTTGTCCTTTCACTATACCAATGGACCAAACAATTTTTTTTGGTTACAGTTCGAATTAATTTCTTCAACAAGTGAATCTTATGTATTAGAAAGTTTACATCATAAAGAACATGTGTTTAAGTTTCATATTGATATGACCATAACTTCATAGATAAAAATTTCAGCACATTGCAAAATAAAGGTTTTTTTTTTGGGGTTAATAATCAGGTGCAGTGTAATGAAAGTATGCTTACCATCTAATTCCAATGGTTGATTTTCTGTTTCAGAACTGAGGAGAGGTTTGGAAAAAATCAAAAACCTTATTATAAGTTAAAAAAAAGTTTTATTATTTTGTAGCTCCCAGGCGAGTACGAATCTACGCAGATGGCATCTATGATATGTTCCATTCTGGTCATGCTAGACAACTAATGCAGACAAAAATAGCGATACCTAATTCATATCTTATAGTTGGTGGTAAGACAAACTACATTTTCAGTATTAAACCTGGAAAAGGAAATGATATAATATGAAACAAAAACACCTCATTGGATGAGGTCAGCACAAACACATCAGTACTGAATACATTGTAATCGATGAGGTCAGCACAAACATGTCAGTACTGAATACATTGTAATCAACAACAAAATATAAGTATGAATTTGAAATGCTTTCTTAGAAAACAATGAATAACCTTATACAGACAGCACAAGCCAAAACTGTCAGTTCACTTTTTTTGTGCCAAAATTAGACCCCTTGTTTAAAACATTGAATTCAAAGCTAATTTAAAATCAAGGCAATGTTAAGCACAATAAGATTAAAAAACAAAATCAACATTTTTATCTATATATATCAAAGGAGGTAAATGGTATATTTTATGTCAATGAGAGGCAACCAAACAACACAAAAAAATCCATGCATAGTAAGGAATATACATTATAACATTAATGGACTTTCCTGAAAAATGTAAAAAGAGGTTTGGATAAAGGATCCACATTAACAATTTTACATTTACTCCAAAATTTGACTTTTATTCCAAAAATTGGACTCCTCAGAGTAAATTCAGAAACATTTCATATCTGCATATGATGACAATGATTAATTGATCAGTTTTTAATATGATAGCTCTGAAGGTAACAGTGTGGAGGAAGACATATAACTCTACTCAGAATCATTCATCTAAGACCAAGTTGAACAGTTTTTACTGTTACTCATAAAAGTCATATTTAAGGCACATAAGCAGCAAGTATATATTTTAAAGTCTAGTTTGACTTGAGCAGATTAAACACACAACCTCCTGCAGTAGAGGCCACTCAGGCAGTTCATATGGCTAAGAACCTTACAATATAACAATAACAATCTGCAACAAGAATGAAAAAGGAGTTCAGAAGACAAGATGAACATTGCCATTTTTATTAATTTAATTTTAATTTTATTATTACATTCATGTATATCAACAAGAATACCTCAGTATTGAAAAATGTAAATGAGAACTCTTCAATAATGAAAAATGGCAAAAGAATACTTCAATAATGGTTGCCAACAAGAACACTTTAATAATGGTTGCCTACAGGAAACTTCCAATAATGGTTGCTAAAAAGAACACTTTAATAATAAGGCCAACAGGAAACGTCAATAATGGTTGCCAACAAGAACACTTCAATAATGAAAGAAGTCAACAAGAAAACTTCCATAATGAAAAACTAGAGGCTCTAAAGAATCTGTGTCACTCACCTAGGTCTTAGGCAAAAAACACAAAAAATTGATAGAATTCGTCTTTAAAGGGGAATTACTCCAATAAGGAGTCATCATACTATTTTGACAATGCCTGACTTATTTGTAGATCTTGTCTTACTGATAACTTTAGCTTATTAAAGTTTCTATCCATCTATTATAGTTTTTCAGATATTAGACATAAACACGAAAGATTTATAAAAATCGTCATTAAAGGGCAATAGCTCCTATAAGGAGTTATCTGACGATTTTGACTATGATGTCTTATTTGTAGATCTTGTCTAGCTGATCAGTTTTGCTTCGAAAAGTATCTATCTATGATAATTTTCAAGACAATAGGCAAAAATGAAATAAAATGGTAAAATTTGTTAAGGGCAATAACTCTTATAAGAAGTAGTCTGATAGTTTTGATGTCAATAGTCAATAGGTAGATCTCATCATTTTCAACATTTTTGCATGGTCAGATTTTCTCTATAGCTGTTTTCAAGATAATAGACAAAAATTGCATTTTGCCCCTATCTAATTTTAGCCATGTCGGCCATGTTTGTTGACAGGCAGGGTTCTCAGACACAAATTTTTAAACTAGATACCCCATTGATGATTGTTGCCAAATTTGGTGAAATTTGGCCGAGCAGTTTCAGAGAAGATGATCTTTGTAATCTTGACGACAGATGACGGGACGCCAATTATTAGGAAAGCTCACATGGCCCTTCTGGCCAGATGATCTAAAAGTCAACAAGAACACTTCCATAATGAATTTATGTTCAATAAATGACAATATCAACAAGAACACTTCAATAAATGAAAAAATGCAACAAGAACACCAGTACTGAAAAATGTCAACAAGAACAATTATGAAAAATGCCAAAAAAACACCTCAATAATGCAAAATGGCAACAAGAACACCTCAACAAGAAATGTCAGCAAAAAATCAACTGCTATTGTCAACAAATGTTATACCTAATGGCCATACATTTTTTTTTTTTTTTTTAGTCGAGTCCTCCAATGAATTAAAAATCGTTTGAATTTATAGAAATTAAACTCCACCAAGAAAACAATCTGTATTAAATACATTAAATAAATATTAATCAATTCTAAATCAAAGCTAAAGGTAAAGAATTAAAAAAACAATTAGTTAAATTTTTATATCTACATTTACAGTGTGTAATGGTGACTTGACTCAACATTATATTTTTATATCTACATTTACAGTGTGTAATGGTGAATTGACGCAACAGATGAAGGGAAGAACAGTAATGGATGAAAAAGAAAGATACGAAGCTATACGACATTGCCGTTATGTGGATGAGTTAGTTACAGATGCTCCATGGACTCTAACTGATGAATTTTTAGAGATGCACAAGGTATGATATGTAAACTAAGGTTTTTGCCTCGTCTCCAATGTTTATTGCAGAATGCAAGACATAGGAAGCTAATCTGGAGGCAGCTGTGTAAACTATTTGTAAAAAGCTTTCAGATTGTAGAAGAGATGGATTATCAATATCTTGAAAATTGCGTTGATTTGATTGGCTTATCCAGCGTTTTGAGAAGATATTACGACATTTCCATTGGCTATGCGTTAGGTCATTGATGACTTTTAAAGATTAAGACCATGTACATTTCGTCCATGGCAACTGACTTCTTCAATAATGTACAAAACACTCACACTTTTTACCTGAAAATCTTCTATTTGTTAAATTTTATTGCATTCTGAAGCGTACAAAAAGTTTTAAAATATCTAATGTTCAAGTTAGACAACAGAAGAGGACATATGACGTCATACTGGTATGTGCAAAAGAGTAGATCAACGAAACAACTGGTGAGAACTGGATATCACTTGATATCAACTCAAGTTAATTAATTATATCCAATTCTCACTCTTTGTGAAAACCTATAAATATGGTCTGTAAGTTTTACAAAAAGTTATTTTCTAAATGAATTTATGTGATAAAGTAATGGGAAATTTTTGTACCTATCCTACAGATAGACTTTGTTGCCCATGATGAAATTCCATATGGAGCGGTAGGTTCAGATGATGTGTACGCTATGATTAAAGAAAGAGGGATGTAAGTTTTATATACATTTAATGAAGTGTTAAAAAAGGATAAAAGATGTTGAGTCAATGAGGCAGCAATTGAACAACACAAGTTAACTAAAATCAGACATTTAGATGTTGTTATACAGCTATCAAGCAACAAAATCATATGACAAACTCTAAATCCCCTGTGGCGTGATAAATTGGGAATGAAAGCAAGATAAGACTTAAGATCTAGCTTAAATGTCATGCTCCTTGGACTAAGAATTGATTTCCAAAGTTTAGAAATTATTGTTCTAAAATATTACAATTTTGTTCATAGATTAATATAGGAGACTATTGGAGCTTCACATAAAAAGTAGTTCTTTCTAACCAACATTTCATACTTCATTGAGTCAGATTGCTTTAGTTTGATGATATTTCCTGGATACTAAGGGACTTGCATCTTATTTATATGAACATGTCAGATGATGAATTGGTGGCTATATTCTAGTCCAAATAATTATGCTGTCTTGAAAAAGATAGGTGAAAGATATATACCAAAGGACATTCAAACTCACAAGTCGAAAATAAACTGACAACACCATGGCAAAAAAGAAAAAGACCAAAAGACAAGCAACAGTATACTAAACACAACATAGAGAACTAAGACTAAGCAACACGATCTCCACCAAATACCGGAGGTTATCTCAGGTCTGCTCCACATTTGGCACCTGTCGTGTTGCATATATACTAATACTTTCCTTTTGTGTGCTTGTTGGTTTCCAAATTTTTCCCAAAAATTTCAAAGTAATGATAAAATAAGTTACAATTCTATGGAACGCCACAGCTGTCTTATGTGGAACTCTGATATTATTTTATGTTGTTCTATTATTAATTGATGATAGTTTGTCTTCACATAATATGGTTTTGACATTACGTAATGATGTTTTGATATAACTCAATATGGAATAGTCATTACTTAATGATATTCCGATATTACATGATATGGTTTCGTATTGACTTGATATAGTTTTGTCATTACTTAATATGGTTTTGTCATTACTCGATGTGGTTTCACCATTATTTAATGTGGTTGTGTCATTAGGCAATGTGGTTTTAACATTACTTCATGTGTATGTGACTTAACGTAATGTAGTTGTTTCATTACATGATGTGGTTTTGTTATTTCGTAATGATGGTTTGCCAATTCTTTATATGGCTTTAACATTACGTAATGATGTTTCAGTATTTGATGTGGTCATGTCATTCTTTGATGTGGTTATCCCATTACTACTACGAGGTAAAACCACATGACCATTTTGGAAAAAATATGTTCTATTTCCATATGTCTTTTGTGTAATGCGCTTTGGATGAGTACCGCTATGCATTAAGTTAAAGTTCAAATTAAAGTTCAAGTTGTTGTTCAGAGTTATTTGGTATGAAAAAGAGGAACGACAGACAAAAATAAGAAAAAAAGTACTAAAAAATTAACAGTAATTCGGACATAAGGGGGACATCCCCAAACCATTTGGTCCTGCCGTTTTTTCCTTAGTTCTTAAATGAAAGCTGTAAATTAATAAATAAATTAAAAATTCTTATTAACCCTGTGTCTTGCCTGATAATTCTGCTGTCAGTGAAAAAGCGTAATGTTGACTGACTGTACATTAACTGGTACACTTAACGGGGGAAAAAATGTTTTTCTGTAGATGCTTTTATCTTGATCTTGAAGAATAACTCCTATACAAGTTTTTATAACAATTCATGGAGGTTTACAAATTTATCATGTCAAAACAGTTTAATTCGGTAATATTTAATGCATTAAAAAAAACCTTGTATAGAAATAAAGAAATGTGGTATGATTGCCAATGAGATAACTCTCAACCACATACCAAGTTTCTAGTTGAACTTCGAGTTTGAGTCACATTTAAAGATAGAGTTCCGAATTACAATTCGACTTCAACTTTGAATTTGAGTCACCTTTTGACGTAGACTTCGAGGTAAACCCTTATTTGAGTCTCATTTAGATTAAGATTAAGAGTTGAAATTCGAGTTATCTCATATGAGTTCTATTTTTTTTTTATCGTGAATCAAGGGCTTTTGCTCGAGCTTCCGAAAAGAGGGTTCAGGGGTAGGTATGCGTACAAAAGATAAACAATTTTACAGCATACAAAACACAACATAGAAATTGAAATAAAGTTAGATGTGGTGTGATAGCCAATGAGAAAATTATCCACCATAGTTTAAATGCAGTGGATGCAAGCAATCATAGGCAACCGAACAGCCTTCAACACACCGTATAGTCAGCCACAAAAGACCACCACGTGAAAATGTGAAGCAATTCAAACGAGAAAACTATCGGTCTAATTTATAGCTAAACAATCTACGAAAAACAAATATGACACACATGAAACAACAACAACCATTGAACTACAGGCTCCTGACTTGGGGCAGGCATATAAAGAAAGTGCATGCGGCGGAGTTAAACATGTATGTAAGCGCTAAATCCTAACCTAACCTAGTGTATAATAGCACAGCATAAGAAGAAAATGTAAAGACAGTTTTGATTGGCTCAACTCAATAGATCAGTATGACTGGGTAACATAAATCCATCAGCGTGATCTCGAGTGCTTCGGAAGGATAAGCGGATTCTGCTCAACTTGTGGCACCCGTCGTGTTATTCATGAAAGTACAAACCCAGTGATTTGGTTTTATTTGGTAGTTTACATCCGAGGAAAAGATGACGGGATTGTGGTTACGACAACTGGAACCTATCTGTTGTCACCTGTGAAACAGATATTTCAAAAAGTATTTTTTTCAATTAGTGCGTGGTATATCAGAAACTGCAATTAATAAAAATAAAAGTTTATATTCATATGTTCAAATGAACATACACGCTAAAAAAAAAACCGGAGAATTTTTATTTTATAGAATTGATGCTTTGTCTCTTAGTCCCCCCCCTCCCCATTTCCCTTTAACTTTAGTGCGAGTTGATTTAAAGTGTCTCATTTGTTGAAAATACAGTACAAGTCTTTTGATTTGTGTCGTACTTGCTACATTAATGTAGCGACAGTGAGATACAACAAACCTATATGTCTTCGTTGGTAGTATCAATGGCGTCTTCATCATTTAGATAGTTAGGTTTCTAGTTTGAATTGTTTTTATATTTTTCATTTCGAGACCCTTTTAAGCTTACTATGTGGTATGAGTTTTGCTCATTCTAAAAGACCATACAGTCACACATATATATTAACTTCTATGTCATTTGGTATGTGGTTGAGAGTTGTCTCATTGGCAATCATACCACATTTTTTTTTATTTCTATATAAGGTTTTTTTTTTTGCATTGAATATTACCAAATTAAACTATTTTGACATGATAAATTTGTAAACCTCCATGAATTGTTATAAAACTTGTATAGGAGTTATTCTTCAGGACCAAGATAAAGCAGTGTTCCTTGGAATCATTTACGAATTTATTATAATACTGCTTCCATTTGAGAACTAAGGAAAAACCGGCAAGTGGTTTTGGGATATCCCCCTTATGTCCGAATAACTGTAAATGTTTTAGTACTTTTTTCTTAATTTTGTCTGTCGTTCCCCTTTTTCAGACCAAATAACTATGAACAACAACTTGAACTTTAATTTGAACTTTAACTTAATGGATAGCGGTACTCATCCAAGGCGCATTACACAAACGACATATGGAAATCGGTCTCAAAATAGAACATATTTTTTCCAAAATGGTCACGTGGTTTTACCTCGTAGTAGTAATGGGATAACCACATCAAAGAATGGCATGACCACATCAAATACTGATACAAACACATCATGTAGTGTAAAATCGACAAATTTTGAAACATCATTACGTAATGTTAAAGTCATATAAAGAATTAGCAAATCATCATTACGAAATAACAAAACCACATCATGTAATGAAACAACTACATTACGTTATGTCACATACACATCAAGTAATGTTAAAACCACATTGCCTAATGACATAACCACATTAAATAATGGTGAAACCACATCGATTAATGACAGAACCATATTAAGTAATGACAAAACTATATCAAGTCAATACAAAACCATATCATGTTATATCGAAATATCATTATGTAATGACTATTCCATATTGAGTTATATCAAAACATTATTACGTAATGTTAAAACCATATTATGTAAAGACAAACTATCATCAAGTAATAATAGAACACCATAACGTAATATCAAAGTTCCACATAAGACAGCTGTGGCGTTCCATACAATTCCATCCGAGATGTTCGATGACCTACTATGATTTTAAAATGGTTTCCCAGATTTCCCAAGATCCTTCACTTTCGGAGAGTATAAAATACCAAACTGCTTAAAATATTTTGACCAACAAGCACACAAAAGGTAAGTATTTGTATATATGCAAAAATTTCTAGCTGTCAATGAAGATTTCATGGCAAAATTTGGTCTCAAAGTTGAGAGGAAAAATCTCTCGAAGTCCAGACTTAGGTTCTTTGACTTCTGTTATTTCTTGATAAATTGCTTAATGAAAATTAATATGAATGGTACTGAAAAAAAAGATTGGTAAACTTGTTTTGGGCTGGTTTACATGAGTGCAAAACCAGTTTATGGTATGTGAAGTGGGACAGGGAAATGGGGCATCTATTTTATGTAATAAACTCCGACAGTTTTTGTCTCGCCTAGCCAGACATAGGGATTGCTTTTCCGGCGACGACTGCTGCTGCAACGACGGCTGCAGCACTGGCGTCAACAATTGTTAAGTTTTCTGCTTAAGTTAGTTTGATAGGAACTACTTGTGATAGATTTTTGATATTTAATATAAAGTTGCATTACTATCAGTACATATCAGTTTGACGACTATTTCCAGGCTCTGCCCCCTAGGTCATGGTCCAGCAACTTTGAATTAACTAACAATTTTCAATGTTAAGTTTTTCTGCTTAAGTTAGTTTGATAGGAACTACTTGTGATAGATCATTGATATTTAATATGAAGTCGCATTACTATCAGTTCATATTAGTTTGACGACTATTTTGAGGCCCTGCCCCCTAAGTCATGGTCCAGTGACTTTGAATTAATTAGCAATTTTCAATGTTAAGTTTTCTGCTTAAGTCAGTTTGATAAGAACTACTTGTGACAGATCAGTGATATTTTGTAAAAAAGTTTCATTACTATCAGTACATATCATTTTGAAGACTATTTTGAGGCCCTGCCCCCTAAGTCATGGTCCAGTGACTTTCAATTAATTAGCAATTTTCAATGTTAAGTTTTCTGCTTAAGTCAGTTTGATAAGAACTACTTGTGACAGATCAGTGATATTTTATAAAAAAGTTTCATTACTATCAGTACATATCATTTTGAAGACTATTTTGAGGCCCTGCCCCCTAAGTCATGGTCCAGTGACTTTCAATTAATAAGCAATGTTGCTGTCCATCAGATTGCCTTTTTCTGAATTTTATGTGTACAGATGAGACATATCTCTGTGTCAACAGTTTATTAAGTTATTACAATCTTACTGAATTTGTTTTGAACTGGTTTCAGGTTTTTAATTACAGAGAGAACGGAAGGGATATCAACAACAGATATCATAGCCAGAATTATTAAAGATTATGATGTATATGTTAGAAGAAATCTTAGTAGAGGATATAGTGCTAAAGAGCTCAATGTTAGCTACATGAGGGTAAATATTTATAGAATAAGTAACCAAAGAATTCAAATATAGAAAAATATTCAACAAGTGACCGAACAACACATTAGTTCACATGCTGTGGTTAAGAGATGCAAGACCAGGACAAAAGAAGGGTTTGATATTTAAAAAAAGTGTTTTCTGGGAAATAGATAAAAAATCCTCAACCAAAACGTTAAACTTTTTTGGAATATTTTAAGGTCAAATAAATGCAGGTTGAGTTTGATTTCTTGTGATTTGTCTCTTGTTATGGTCCATGATTTTCCAAGCATTTGTGAATTTACAGTTTAGGATGATAAATAGAAAATCCTTCACCGAATGACTTTCAATCATTGTGTAATTTTGTCGAGCCTTCGACTTTAGTCGAAAAAGTGAGACATAGCGATCCTACATTCCATCGGCGTCGTCGGCGGCGTCCACAAATATTCACTCTGTGGTTAAAGTTTTTGAAATTTTTATAACTTTCTTAAACTATCCTGGATTTCTACCAAACTTGGACAGAAGCTTGTTTATGAATAAAAGATAGTATCCAGAAGTAAATTTTGTAAAAATAAAGCTTGTTTATGATCAAATGCTAGTATCTAGAAGGAAATTTTGTTTTCTTCCAGTTAACATTACATTCAGTCTGCAGTTAAAGTTTTTAAACATTTATTAGATTCATAAACTATCCTGGATTTTTACCAAACTTGGACAGAAGCTTCTTACAATCAAAAGATAGTATCAAGTGGAATATTTTTATTGATTTACTTCCTCATTTTTGTTGAGCCTGCGATTAACAGAAAAAGTAGGCGAGACACTGGGTTCCGCGGAACCCTTACAAATTTTTTCACAACTTAACCTCTTCATTTGTCCTTTCTCCGATTTCTTTTTGCATATGAAAATACAAGACAAGGCTACATTTAAGGCAGTGGCTGATGGTGCCCATCATTCATTTAATATTACAAAAACTATCACTACATGAAATTTCTAAAAATATTGTAATTATAAACTGGGACTTTTGTACTTTGATAATTAGATCATATACATGACATTTTCCATATTGACCCTAGTAATATACCTGACCCATTACGACCTTGGCTAAAACTAGATATCAGATATGTCAGATATAGGAGGTTTTGGATCATACCAGGGGAGATATGGAAAACACCTTGCAATGATATAGAAATATTGTGCGCCATCTTTTGGTTATATTCTACATTGAATACAATATTTCTAAACAATTCATGTAATATATATGTTTATTTTTACAGGAGAAAAAAATTATTTTAGCAGAAAAATATAACACTATGAAAGATAAAGGAAAAGAATTCATTGATAAATGGGAAGACAAGTCTAAAGAATTCATTGGTAACTTTTTAGAAATGTTTGGAAAAGATGGAAGAATAGTAAGTGTTGTTTAAGAGACTTTTGAGTATTTTGTAGATGCTAACAAGAAAAATATTTAAACTTATACAAATGAAAGTGCATCCAAGATCAATTTAGGTTTTCCATATGCTAAGTCATGGCCAATTTCAAATCCTATTTTGCTTTGTCTGTGAGTCGCAGAATGTGATACTTGTCTGTCTGATATGATTAACCTAACCTTAACCTCATTTCATGGTTCAATGATGAACATTAAGTATTTGTGATAAGGTCAGTTTCTAAGATATATAAGTAGTAGGTTAAAAAATTTAGTATATAGAATGGTTATAAGGTATAATACTTGATCATCTGACAGGGCTTATTTGACCTTGACTTCAACTTCATGGTTCTTTGATCCGTGGTAAGCAATGTTTAGTAAGATTAGTTTCTCAGTTATTATAGGTAACAGGATAACTATATTTAATCAACAATGATTGTAAGCTGTCCATTTGACAGATTTCATTTTACCTTGATCTCCAGAAATGTTTCAATTAGAAATTCTAAGTTTTTGTAAAAAGATTAGTTTATCATTATTAGCAATAGGTTAACTATAGTAGGTGCACAGCATCATTTTAAGATAATTTTTAGCTCACCTGGCTGAAAGGCCAAGTGAGCTTTTCTCATCACTTGCCATCCGTTGTCATCCGTTAACTTTTACAAAAATCTTCTCCTCTGAAACAACTGGGCCAAATTTAACCAAACTTGGCCACAATCATTATTGGATTATATAGTTTAAAATATGTGTCTGAAGACCCTGTAAACCAAGATGGCCGACATGGCTTAAACATAGTGGTAAAATGCAAGTTTTGTCTAATATCTTGAGAACCGCTATGAATAGAGAAAATCTGACAGGGGCAGTAATGTTGAGAATGTTGAGATATACCTGCTGTCCATTTACCTCAAAACTGTCAGACAACTTCTTATAGGAGTTATAGACCTTAAATGTTAAATTTTATCAATGTTTTTCAGTTTTGTCTATTATTTTGCAAGCTTTAATAGATACAGAGAAATTTTCATTAGGAAAAATGATAAGCAAGACAAGATCTACAAATAATTCAACATGGCTGAAATCATCAAACAACTCGTTATTGGAGTTATAGCTCTTTAATGACGATTTTTACCAATCTTTTGCGTTTTTGCGTTTTATCTTAAAAAATATAATAGATAAAAAGAAACTTTAAAATACAAAATGATCAACAAGTCAAGATCTACAAATAAGTCAAACATGATCAAAATCGTCATTTGATTCCTTATTGAAGTTACTGCTTATTAATTACGATTTTTCCCAATTTTTTGCATTTTTGCCTATTATTTTGAAAACTGTAATAGATAGATAGAAACATTATATAGCAAAAATGTTCAGCAAGACAAAATCTACAAATAACCCATCATGGCTGATGGATGAAATCTTTAATCGACTCGTTATTGGAGTTATTTCTCTTTAAAGATGTTTATCCATTTTTTTGAGTTTTTGCCAATTATCTTGAAAAGTGTATTAGATACAAATGTAAAAAAAAACTTAGAAGTAAAAATGATTAGCAGGATAAGATCTACAAAAAGTCAACATGACTGAAATTGTCAGTTAATTCTTTATAGAGTTATTGCCCTTCATGATAATTTTTACCAAAAAATGGCTATTGTTGAAGATGCAGGTGAGCTACACAGGCTCTTTAGAGCCTTTAGTTAGGTGTTCATGTTGATTTGACCTTGAACTCATTGATAAACTTTTTGTGATACCTGAAGTAAGACTATTTCAGTGTGTGCATTCTTTCAAAAAGTTCAAATAGTCAAATACAATATTTTTTATGCCCCCACCTTAGCGGAAGGGGCATTAAGTTTTACCCTTGTTCGTCTGTACGTCTTTCCGTCCATACGTCCCAAAATTGGTTTCCATTCTCTCTTTAGTTTGCCTCAACCAAATGTTATGAAACTTATACACAATGCTTATTACCACAAAACACAGATCAAGTTTGAATTTGGGTAGCGTCACTTTTACCATACTAGAGTTATGCCCCTTTACAAAGGAAAAATTGATGAATTTTTTGTTTCCATTCTCCAACTTAAATTTGCCTCAACCAAATGTTATGAATCTTATACACAATGCTTATTACCACAAAACACAGATCAAGTTTGATTTTTGGGTAGCGTCACTTTTACCATTCTAGAGTAATGCCCCTTTACAAAGGAAAAATTGCTTAATTTTTTGTTTCCGTTCTCTTACTTAAGTTTGCCTCATTCAAATGTTATAAAACTTATACACAATGCTCTTTACCACAAAACTCAGATCAAGTACGAACTTGGGTAGCGTCACTTTTACCGTTCTTGAGGTATGTCCCTTTATAACGTTATATGCAAGGGGGGGCATGATCTGTGTCCCATAATAATAATAACTTTAAATCAATTATGCTTAATCATTTGATAGTTTTAATTTTCTTTAAAACCAACACAATCATAGTGCACATAAGAAACAAACGGTTTAATCTTTTCAGACCTCTTGGATAGCAGAAAATACAGAGAAAGTAAAACTAGCCATATCACCTCCCGCTAGTCCTGTTCCAGGTGCAAGTGATGAAGATGATGATGATGATGATGAAGACGATGATGATGATGAATACCAGGAAGCTTCATCACATTCCCCTCCATCACAGAGTCCGCCATCCAAAAGAGGTAGAACTCAATCTCCTGTTGTTGGTGCTACTTGTTCTAATTATGATGAAGAAATGGAGCATGAAAGTGTATAATATATCATAATATTGTTATTTGGATATTGCTGGTACACAACAAGCATTGATTGTTAGTCCGATAGTTGTATCTTGCCAGGAATGTATGTTGTTATTTTGATAGGAATGTATCTAATTTGTTATTAGTTAAGTACAAAATATGTTATTGTTAATAGGGGACTAAGGGATCTAAAAGTTTAGAGACTAGCATTAATGGACCAAAAATAAAGATATAGTTGGTATACAAAATGTTATGTAAATTTTAATATGTATTTTATCAAGTTTTAATATCCATTATTGCCTCATTATTATTAATATTTCTTTCCTTGTATCATTATCCATTTTGATCTCCTTTAAAATTTAGAAATCCATAAGGAGCCAGTTGTTTTTGATGAGTACATAATTAAAATTAAAATGTTGGCTTGCATTCTATATTTCTGTTGACAGAAGTGGGATTTCTTTAAGAAGTCAGAATCATTACATAAATTTTAATGAATGAATCAAACATTAATGTTCTTTACTTGCAGTGTTTTTTATGAAGTAAATGTGTCTTTGTCTATTTTAATTTACATTATATTCAAATCAGTATTTAATGTCTAGGTTCAAATCTTTAAAAATGTTGCATTGAAGATTTGAACGATCAGTCTAATATATTTGTATTGTATATTATTTGTGTCTCGTTGTGCTTAAGTTTGAATTGTCTTTGGTGGTGAAATGTAAATCCATGACTTGAAAAAAAATATGACTTGAAAAAAATAGGCAGTCAATGAAGCAGGAAAGGTAACCTCTGAAATCACATGAAAGTTATGAACGGTTTTATGTTATACAGAACCAGAAAAGATACAAGTATTTATACTCTTACATTGTAATTTATATAATTTATGTCGTTGATTTTTAATATTTTTTTATTAGATATTTATAAATTTTAAATTGTTATTCATAAACTGTTACATTTATTGTTTGTGTGTAAATGTATTTCCCTCAGTTGTCCTGATGAACTTAGCAATATATATTCCAAGTAAGAGGGTGATTCCTGCTAAAGCAACATAGGGCTGAAATTCCGTTAAAGTGACAGTATCCCAGTAATAAAATTTAAAAAAAAACAGAAAAGGAAAAAAAAGCAAATGTTATCTTTGGTATCTACAGTAAGTCTTTAATGTTAAATGAAAAATTTTGTTATGGACATTTAACAAAAAGAACATTTCAAAAGCCTTGTGTTTATAAATCTTAATGTTAGTAAATTGTAAATAGATATATGGTGTCTTGTTCTCAGTTAAACGTATCTTCAAAGAATCCATTCAAAATAGCATGTAATACATAATAATTTATAGCCATGTGAAAACTTCTCAAAGTTTTTTATTTTTTTTTTACATATTTCTAGATAAATTTTGTGTTATAATTTGAGTTTGTTGGTGAATATGATTACAGTATTCCATATATTATTTACATATTATTTGTACTGCTTTATCAGATGTGCCATTTAAATTACATTTTTTTCTACTACATTTGTACTGTCCTTTAAGCTTATAGTGTATAGAATTATTGTAAGGTGTACATATCCATCTGACATGATTCATTGAATCTTGACCTAATTTTCATGGTTCTTTGAACAATCTTAAGTTTTCATGACTAGTCATTTTCAGTTACTATAAGTAATAATGAGTCAACTGCATTTGGTCCATAGAATGCTTGCTGGATCATTAAGAATGTTGTAAAAAGTTGATCTCAAAGACTTTCAACATATAATTTAAAATAATCAGTAAAGCAGGAAAGAAATTTTAGTGTGTCCACTCTTGTTATTCATTTGGTATTACAACATTTTAGTGTAACATCTTAATGTAAAATCTTTTGTTTCTAGAAGTTTTATAACTTATAAAAGCGAGTTATTTTATATTTTAAGATTTTCCTTTCATTTCATGAAGAGTAAGTATTTTACTATTGAGGAAGTAACCATTATAATTGTTCCCGAAGAAGAAATTGTAAAATTTTTATGCTTTATTCCACATTTCAAATATGTGATTATTTCAACATTTACGCTTTCAAATTAAATTAATTCCACAACACATGTTAATCTTTAAAGATCTTCTATTAAGAACTGTATAACAATAATATGCATTTATTTGTTGTCTAAAGTATTGATTGTCAGAACATGCCTCAATTGTTTTTAGTTATTTCATTTGCATATTTCAGTCTATTCCTATCATGTGCAATATCAGTTTACGTTTTGTTAGGAAAATGCTATTTTTTTTAAATAAAGCCTTATCACAATTTTAGGTCTATTATTTATGAAGAACAGTTTATAAACTTCCCACAGCATATGAATTTTTCAAATTTACACATTGCATTCTACTACTCATAATGATCTTACCATATCAGTATATACATGGTTGAGCTATGCCAGACAATATATGTATTGATCTAACTATATCAGTATATACATGGTTGAGCTATCCCAGACAATATATGTATTGATCTAACCATATCAGTATAAACATGCTTGAGCTATGCCAGACAATATATGTATTGATCTTACTATATCAGTATAAACATGCTTGAGCCAGCCAGACAATATATGTATTGTTCTAACCATATCAGTATACACATGCTTGAGCTATGCCAGACAATATATGTATTGTTCTAACCATATCAGTATACACATGGTTGAGCTTACCCAGACAATATATGTATTGTTCTAACCATATCAGTATATACATGCTTGAGCTATGCCAGACAATATATGTATTGATCTTACTATATCAGTATAAACATGCTTGAGCTATGCCAGACAATATATGTATTGTTCTAACCATATCAGTATACACATGCTTGAGCTATGCCAGACAATATATGTATTGTTCTAACCATATCAGTATAAACATGGTTGAGCTTACCCAGACAATATATGTATTGTTCTAACCATATCAGTATACATGGTTGAGCTATGCCAGACAATATATGTATTGATCTAACCATATACAGGCTTGAGCTATTCCAGACAATATATGTATCGATCTAACCATATCAGTATATACATGGTTGAGCTATCCCAGACAATATATGTATTGATCTAACTATATCAGTATAAACATGGTTGAGCTATGCCAGACAATATATGTATTGTTCTAACCTTATCAGTATACACATGCTTGAGCTATGCCAGACAATATATGTATTGATCTAACTATATCAGTATAAACATGGTTGAGCTATGCCAGACAATATATGTATTGTTCTAACCATATCAGTATACACATGGTTGAGCTATGCCAGACAATATATGTATTGTTCTAACCATATCAGTATACACATGCTTGAGCTATGCCAGACAATATATGTATTGATCTAACTATATCAGTATAAACATGGTTGAGCTATGCCAGACAATATATGTATTGTTCTAACCATATCAGTATACACATGCTTGAGCTATGCCAGACAATATATGTATTGATCTAACCATATCAGTATATACATGGTTGAGCTATGCCAGACAATATATGTATTGATCTAACCATATCAGTATATACATGCTTGAGCTATTCCAGACAATATACATGTATGTATCAATCTAACCATATCAGTATAAACATGGTTGAGCTATGCCAGACAATATATGTATTGGTAATGGAACCATATATAGCTTTTACAACAGTATTGATTTATTATGAGATAACTGAAAGGAAAGGTTCATAAGAAAGATCATCACATTAGAGGCAGAGAAAATATTTGTTTCTTTATAAAGCTTGAACCTTACATTATTACAAGTACTCCTACACAAATAAACAGTACGATACCAATTAGCACAACTTGTTTCTGGAATACCTTTCATCAGGTACAATCCAGACCAAAAGTTTATTAAGCCAAAAAAATAAAACATAAAAAAGACTTATGCAATAGCCAAAATCTTTGGAGGTTATCTCTGCTTAAGGTATCTTAGCTACAGATTCATTATTTTTGTGTCCCCTGACAGCAAAGCTCTAGCAACACATACGGATCACTTTTATCTTCTAATTTCATCATCGTTCTTGTCACACTTTGTTAATCTGCAACTCCTTGAAATAATTGATAGAATTCTACAAAATTTACCCATAGACTTTTACAAGGATTGAAGTTGTGCACCGATAGTTAATTTTTTTTTTCAAATTGATTTTTTATTTAGCTCACCTGGCCAAAAGTGCCAATTAGAATTAAAATTGGCTACAATCATTCTTGGTGTATCTTGTTAAAAGAATGTGTCCCATGATCCTGCACACAAACCAACATGGCTAACATTAATCTGTTGCCATCATTAATTCTTCAAAAGTCTGCTTAGAACTTGTAAGCCCAGAACATATTGTTCTTATCCAAAGCATATTTAAATCAAAAGGACCAGAGCTGAAAAGATCGATTTATCTAAATTCTGATAAGTCAATTTTAAAATTTCCTTTCCCATGAAACTACAAGGCCAAATATTTTCAAACTTCATTAAAACAATAATTGGGAGACCCTGATCACAGTTAATTTCTATTTGTGTTGATCAGTTAATATACATGGTGGAGATCTGCCACAGAGGTTCTCACTGAAACCTTTAAAAATAAATCAAGTTCCATCTTATCTAACACTACATTCACAATCTACAAAACTGGATAGGAATAATGCTTAGAATGCCCTTAATTAAATTTGTCTGTTTATAATCATGACCATCAGATTCTTATTGGTCAATTTAGGAATGCATGTAAATCAGCAATGTTGCCACATATGGAAGGTTTATTATGAACTTTTTGAAAATTTCATATTTTCTTCATCACTTAAACCTGCTTGGTGAAAATGGCCAGGGAAGACAGTTATAGTCCTTTGACAAAAATAGTCCCTAGTGTGGACAGTGTATTACTTGGATTTTTTTTTATACACCTTCCCCATTTATTTGTCATGTTTTATGCCTCATATAGCAAGTAGGCGGATGCAATTACACTGTAAATTAAAATGCTTGGCGTGGCACAGCTTGATTTACTTATTTCTCTTATGGTTGTGGCTTGTTATCTTTTTCTTGCATGAAGAGGTATTTCTTGTATCACACTGCAAGGAGTGTGATATGAAAACTGTGTTAATTTGATTGGCCTAGCCAGCATCATGAGGCGATATTACGATTTCCATTGGCTATTCAATAGGTCATTGATAATTTTCAAAGGTTAAGATGATGTACATTTTGTCCATGGCAACAGACATATGTAATTTCTTCAATAATGTACAAAGCACTCGCATTTATAACCTGGACATCTTTTTGTCAAATTTTATTACATTCTGAAGTGTACAAAAAGTTTTAAAATGTCTGATGTTAAAGTTTGACGAAGGAAAAGGACATATCATGTCATACAGGTAATTGCAAAAGATTAGATCTACGATTCAGAGATTTTTAATTTAACTCAATGAGAGTGTTGACCATAAGAGAAATAGGTTTAACAACTCATAATAATTGCATATTGCTTGATATCAACTCTCGTTTTTTAATTTGAATAGTATTAATAAACTCACTGAAGGCTCGTTTATTATTATATCGAAATTAAATAACTCGAGTTGATATCAAGCGATATTTAATTCCCACTCGTTATGAAACCTTTGATTTAAAAAGGACAATATTGTCTAAGTTTGGTAGTAATCCTTTTATCATTAAATTAATAATTTTTTGGTGTTTGAATATTGCTACAAGTGGGATACAGATAGATGTGTATGGTAGTTGAGGTTTATTTGTCATCAGGTAATGATTGAAGTTTTTAAAAATATTGTGACTTTGGGTGGTGGGAAAGGGGAGGAAATTCAGTTATCTTGACATTGTTAAACTGTTAGCATTAAGAATTTGAAATTGGTAATTTAGCAACTTTAGAAATGAATGATGTAGTGGAAATGGAAATGCAGACTAAACTAATATCTAAGTTAAAAGGATAAAAGAATTATATTATAATGAACTTTTTGAATATTTTGGCAAGATAGGATAATAATGTGGGATAAAATTGGTGCATTCAATTGGTAATTGTGGTTAATGGGAATGTAATTCTAAGTGATTGGGATGTTATTTTAATTAGATTTGTGAATTTGTGGTTAGAATTGTTCTGTAAAGTGATATCAAAAGGTAACATTAATGTTGAATGTGTGTTTTAGAGTGGATTATCATTAAATAGTGGTTTGAGTTATTTTCCTTTGAACAGAAATGTCAATATGGAGGAAATTGTTTTTAAGTGTATGTGGAAAATGTTTAAATTATTATTGAGGTGAATTGATATATTTGAATGAGAATGCTGATAATTTGATAATTTTGGTAATACATCTTTTTGAAAAATGGGCCAAAAATCCAAAATCTAAATACATTATTAGATTCAGCAAATTGAAAACAATCAAAGGTTAATTTTGCACCCTAATTTGGACCCACTTAAAAATACAGCCCAGAATCAATATTCTAAATACACGGTAAGATTAAGCATTTAAAAGAATCCCAATATTTCAAGATTATTTAAATCCCATTGAAAATGGTCTGAAATAAACAATTCAAACAAAGATTAAAAAATTGATTGTTTTTACCCCTTTTTGGCCCTTAATTCTTAAGCTGATATGGTCATAACCCCCAAAATTCAATCGAAACTTCTTTTTGTAGCATGGAACCTCATGGTATAATTTCATACAAATCCATACACTTATACTCAAGTAATTGTCTGAAAACCAGAAAAATGTTTGCTTTTAGCCCCTTTTTGACCCAAAATTTTTAAACGGTTAGGGCCATAACTCCACAATCAATCTTAACCTTCATTTTGTGGTATGGAACATTTTTGTGGTTTATTGGTCAATGTTCAATTTTCGTAACAGGTCTTTTTCTCAAACACTATAAGCAACAGGCTAACTATATTTGGTGCATGGTATGAATTAAAGATGTACATGTCTGTCAGATGGGGTTCATTGGCCTTATCCTCATCTACATGGATCAATTATATGTTAAGTTTATGATATTTGTAGTAATATCTACATATTACAGATTTCCAACATAGATTAAATCATGATGGGTAAAGCAGGTGAGACATTTCAGTGTGTGCACTATTGTCTATAGATTTGGACAAGAGCAGATATATTCAAACTAACAAGATCTTCCTACTGTCCTTTTTTGTAATAAAAAATGTCAGACATTTCCTTATAGGAGTTGTTGCCCTTAAGTAACATTTTTTCAATATTTTGGCAATTTGGCTGTTATCTTTAAATTGGTAAAACATAAAGTAAAACCTATAAGTGGTAAAGATGATCAGCATGA